GTACTGCGGTAGCACAGCGGTAGGGCATTTGCCTTGCACACAGCCAGCCCGGAGAGCCTGGCAAACTACTGAGAGTATCTTGCCCACATGGCAAAGCCTGGCAAGCTATCCATGACGTATTCAATATGCCAAACACAGTAACAACAAGTCTCAAGATGGAGATGTTACTGGGCCCGCTCAAGCAAATCAATAAACAACGGGAGGACACTGATAGCACTGTAACACTGTCCCCCCATTATTTATCAATTTGCTCAAGTGGGTGCCAGTAATGTCTCCATTGTGAGACTTGTTGTTACTGTTTTTGGCATATAGAATACACCATGGGTAGCTTGCCAGGCTCTGCCACGCGGGGCGGGATACTTTCGGTAGATTGCTGGGCTCTCTGAGAGGAATGGAGGAATCAAGCCCAGGTCAGCCACATGCAAGGCAAACGCCCTACCCTCTGTGCTATTGCTCCACCCATTATATACACATATATGTGCATATATATATATATATACATATACACACACACATATATATATACATATAACTATGGTAGAGCATACAGTTGTACAAAATACATACAAAGTATTATACCCAATACTGTCCTCAAGTATTTATTGTGAAAACTGATAGGAGTCCTCTAGCTACATTCTGTGTATCACAAAATGCATTCTTAAAATAGTCTCAAATGTTTTATAAAGATATAATATTTAACTTGTTGTAAAAAATATGTGTCTAGTCGCTGATTCATCAGAAATTACTATGTGTAATTTGTTTCACATAAGTTCTTTCCACAGTTTTTGCAATTTCCACAGCTTATTTGTAATTTCGACAAAGATTTTGCATATGAACCATAGATTTGTTTTTCACTTTACATTTTTTATAAGTTCCATGCTTTTTCTGCCTAATGACACTGATGATATATTCCAGGGTTCAGAAGAAATCCTGAGGACACACATCAATACATGTATTTGATCTTTAATTTAAAGCACTCGTTTGTTTATATTTGTTTTTGTTTATTTATTTATTTTTGAACCATACACTTCAGTGCTCAAGGGTCACTTCTGGAAATGCTCAGAACATCTAAGGTGTCAGAGATACAATCAGAAATTGTATGATGCAAGGCAAGCTCATTATCTGTTATATTATTAATGAAGTTATTTTATTTGTTTGGGGGGTCACACCAGATAGTGCTCAGAATTTACTCCTGTATTTTCTCTTATGCATTCTTCTGGTGAAACTTATGTGATCATGTGTCAAGATCAACTCCTAGTCATTCGTGTGCAAAGCAAATGCCCAACATACAGTACTATCTCTCTAGCCATAAAAAATTTAAACTTTCCCTAATGAGAATTAAGATCAATAGTAAATTTATGGTACATAAATTAACCAAATTGAGGAAGTTCTTTCTTTTATTAAATTCTCTGTGCCTTCCAACTCTTCAAGTTCAAAACAGGTCCTTTAATGATTTTCCACCTATCAAATTAATTATGGTGTGTAGTGTATAGTGAATTGATTATTAATTAATTGATCTTAAGATCAATTAATTGATTTTAAGGCATTATGTTACCAACCTTTTCTTTTTCGATTATAATCTATGTTGTCCTCAAGTATTCATTGTGAAAAGTGATAGGAATCCTCTAGTTCATAGTCTGTGTCTGAAAGTAATGGTTTGACATATCATTTTCATTTTTATTGTTATTTATAAAAGCTCGTTGGTTTGCTAAGAGCTACTGTTTTCTGAAAAAAATTAGTTTCCTTTCTTGGTTTCTATTTCAAAATCAGTTGTTAGGCATTTTGTACTTCTGTAACTTATTTAAATCATAAAATTGAGATTGTGACCTCTGTGCATAGGGGAATCAGATAGTATAAATGGAAAGCTTCTCTAATTGACAAAAGTGAATCACTACAAAATATGCTGCTGTGTCTTAGGGAAAACAATAAAAAATTATAAAACTTCAGGGAATTACATAAAATTTTGCTGATCTTATATTGTTTGAAGGTATTTTTATTGTTTCCCTTCTTTTGGAATGAATCACTGGGCTCATAGGTAATGTAATTTTTTTCAAAGCTGTTGAAATTACCCCTAAGTAGCAGCATATGAAATCTTAGAAATAAAGTTTTTTTTCTCTCTAGCCAGAGACAGGAGATTGCTAAATGACTTTACATTCAAACATTTTAATAAGAATGGTCAAATATGTATATATTATTTTCATGAAAGACTCGTACTTATGACAGCTGTCTTGCTGTTATTAATTAAACCATGTTCAGCTGTTGATTATTTCTAATAAGAAAACTTTTATTATTCTCACATCATTTACGCAGAAAAAAGGCAGTATAATGTTAAACATATCTGCTAATGAGTATCTTGGGAGCACAAAAATATCAGTGAAAATATAAGTTCAAAGAAAAGTACAATTGACTGTTCCAAGCTGAATTATGGACCTCTATTCAAAAGAAAATTAAAAGTAGTTCGAGGGTTTATGGATAAACGGAATAGGATTTATAACACATGTTTAAAATGTTGAAGTCTTTAAAATTAATGTATATGTATATTTTTAGTTTTTGTTTCTATAATTGAAGGACAAATACATATCTTAGACAACTAGTATTTATTTTATAATCAATAGCAGGTATTATCAACCTGAAGAAACATTTTGCAGAACAAAGACAGCCTCAATTATTGAAACCCAAGTGAAACGTAAACTTTTGAACCTTCCAAGTTATGCTGGTCTTAAAACTATAATATTAAAGACATACAGAAAATTAGTAGATGATTTATGGATAAATGTGAATACAATAAGTCCTTAGGAAGATTAGGATTAACTTTATAATTGATTCTTATCTGGAATCTCTTAGATAATTTGAATGAGATTATATCCTAATATGCATAAACACATTAACTGAGATATGGATGATACCTTTCTAAATGTCTGTAATTTTTAAAAGTGATCCTAGACCTAGGTTAATTTAAATAAGTAATAAATGCGTGATCTAAAATATATTGGACTCACTTTTTGTTTTTCTTTTTTTCTTTTTAATTTTGAGGGCCAGGCTCAGCTCTGCACAGGACTTACCTATGGGTGGGTATGCGGTAACCTCTCCTAGGAATGCTCAGGTCATATATGAGTGTTAGGATTTAGCCCAGTGCCAGCTGTGTGCAAGCTGTTAATCCATGTGCTAACTCTCCAATCCTGCGTTAATTTTCTTGTAATACAAAATAAAAAAAGTCATAGGATGTTTTATTTTAAGCCGGGTCATTTGACTACAAGAGGTTTAGTAATTTATAAAAATGATGCCTCTTTATTAATTCATTATAAAATTATTTTAAATATATTTGATGTCTTAATATTCAAACTGAGTAGAAAGAAAGAGATGTTAAGAATGCCAGGAATGCACCAGGCTTAGAGATAAAATTATCCATGAATAATTATCAAAAATATTAAATATATTTAGGAAGCAATATCTATCTGTTATTTATTAATCATTTCTTCTTTTTATAATCAATATTTTAAAAGTGGTTAAATATGCAAAAACTTTATCATAGAAGAAATATTCTGAGAACTTCTTTTGAAATCTATTAAATTCCTTTAGTACTCAGTGCTCTATAGTAAAAAACACAATTTAGATTTTTAGGAGGACACACACATTTAAATTATAGCAGTTTTAGCTTAAAATTGTTAAATACTTAACAATTAAGGAACACAAAAAACTAAGGAAGACAAAACAATAACATTTAATTTTCTTTCTCGGTATTGGGAAGCATGAAAAAGGGTCATATTTAGTGGTCAGCATCTACTGGCTTCTCTAGTGCCCATCAGTGATATGTGCATATTGAAGATTTCATATCCTCTCCCTGACTTATTGGAATTCCTCCCCTCAGTAGAGAAATTGTCTAAATGTTTTATTAATATTCTGATGCATGTGATTTTTCACTCTTTTCTTAGTATGGTGGTCTCTCATTTCATCATGCTCTTCATTGATAAATTGATGAATTTGTTTAGCTTTTATATTATATATATATATATATATATATATATATATTGCTTTTTGGGTCACACCCGGCGATGCTCAGGGGTTACTCCTGGCTCATACACTCAGGAATCACTCCTGGCGGTGCTCGGGGGACCATATGGGATGCTGGGAATTGAACCTGTGTCAGCCATGTTGGCTGCGTGCAAGGCAAACGCCCTACCTGCTGTGCTATCGCTCCAGCCCCGAGCTTTTATATTTTTAAAATTTATTTTCCAATGCATTAGTCTTATTATAATTTCAAGTTTGAACTTGGATCAATTATAACAGAAGCAGCATCAATAAAATAAAATTACTTTTCCATAGTAAATTCTGCGTTTAAACCTTTCAGTGTCATCGGATCTAACATTTGACTTAATCTCTTCATTTTCATCATTAATAAACTTACTGAAAATGCATTTCAAATATTTTAAAACGTTGAATGACACATTTCATCAATTAGTTTTGTAGATTTTATCCAAGTTTATCACTAATTTTTTTCAAGTATTATTTTCCCAGAATTAAACTTATTACCTCTTACTGCATATACCTTCCTTTAAGAAGAAAATAATCCTTTATATAAAAAAAATTACTTTCTATTTTCTCCAAGTTTATTGAGCTTGAGCTTTATAAACTGATTTTTTTTAACAAATTGCTGTGCTTTTCTTAGATTTATGATGAAACCAATTGTTCATCCCTTGGATTCTGACAGTATACAATGAATTCTGACAACTTTCTCCCACTCCGGTTCCTGAATAACATGTAATTTCCTTGATATGACAAAATATCATATTAGCATTCATGTCATGCCTTAGTGTTCATTTTTCATTTTTCTGTAAGCTAATGAGTTCTAGAAAGGGTGTCTTCATAAAGTTGTCTGTTGCCAAACGTCCTGCTATAGCATATGGAGCTAGCGACAAGCTGCGGTATTAAGGAGATTTGTTTTAAACCAATCCTCAAACGTGTGCACAGAAATGCTAAATCCGGCCCCATGTGTTTTGCAGACAATCCTGGTTTGCTGAGTCATGTCACAGTGGGTATCAGAGTTCTGGATGTCAATGACAACCCACCCCAACTTGCCAGGGACTATGATATTGTTGTCTGTGAAAATTCTAAGCCTGGCCAGGTAAGTGAATTGTTTCCTTCCTATCATGTGAATGGAAGAAATATAAGCAGTTCTATTTCTGTTCTTCTTAGGGATAATCCTCAAAATCTCCAGTGTTATTTCATGCTCAGTGAAAATAATTGGATAAAGCCTTAACTTGAAAATAGATTTTCCAAAGAATCATAAAAAATATTGTGCTCTAGATACTAAGCATAATCTAAAATAATAAATTCATTTATATAGACATTCATCTTACGAATATTAGTTCTAACACTTTGTCTATAACCCTGCATTAAGTAAGGAGGAAACAGATAATGAAGCTTGGGATTTCTTGGGGAAAAGACCCCGACTTGGTTGGTGTACTTTGTGTGGCGTGAGGAAGTGGTAAAAGTTCATTCAATGACATTGTTACTTAACGTGATTTTGGTGTTAGTGTGATGCCAAAATACAGCAGGTCGGGTATTTGTCTGGTGTGTGGGAAACTTGGGTTCAATCCTCCCGCCACATATGAATCCCTGAACCCTGCCAGGAATGATCCCTGAGCACAGAGATAGGAGTAAGCACTGAGTAGCTTTGGCTGTGGTCCAAAATAAAACAGAAACAAATAAAATGTGATTATTTATGTTTTAACTATGTGAAGGTAGTTTATGAGAGGCAAGGAAATGAGAGAAGAGAACGTGACTGTGGAACATGAATATGATTGCAGAATGGCAGCCAGACTGGCTTTTCGGAAGACCAGTAATTATGAATAGTTGGAGCGATAGCACAGCGAGTAGGTTGTTTTGCCTTGCACGCGGCCAACCTGGGTTTAATTCCTCTGCCCCTCTTGGAGAGCACAGCAAGCTATGGAGAGTATCTCGCCCTCATGGCAAAGCCTGGCAAGCTACCGGTGATACATTTGATATGCCAAAAACAGTAACAACAAGTCTTACAATTCTTGTGAGATCTTACTGGTGCCCGCTTAAGCAAACTGATGTACAGCTGTGAGGTCATTGCTACAGTGAGGCACAAAACGTTATGGGAGTCTGCAAAAAGTATACATTTTGGAATGGTATTCTTTTCACTGTGGAATAAACTACATGAATTTATGTAGATAAACTTACATTTATTTATCACCTTGAAATTTCTGTAAGTAAGATATTTACAATTTAGCAAGATTTTTTTTAACCCCTCCCTCCACCAGTGTCCATTCTCCAAAACCAATGCTCTTACAGGGATCTCTAAAAAGAGAAACAAGAGCATCGGGACTGTTTTTGATTGTGGCTTGAGGCATATTCTACAGCATTCATTGTTTTCAGTTGCACACAGGAACACGTAAAGAGTTTAATGGTCACCACCCACATAGTTTGAGATTCTTCCCTTATATTTGTGTCACATTGTATCCACCCATATGTTTATGAAAAAGAAAGAAAGAGAAGGAAGGGAAGAACAAAGGAACGAAGGAAGGAGAAAGAAAGGGAGAAAGAGAAAGGAAGGAAGAGAAGGAAGGAAGGAAGGAAGGAAGGAAGGAAGGAAGGAAGGAAGGAAGGAAGGGAGGGAGGGAGGGAGGGAGGGAGGGAGGGAGGGAGGGAGGGAGGGAGGAGGGGAGGGGAGGGGAGGGAGGGAGGGAAAAAAAACAGTCTTAAGAAAGATGATAAATCTGGATACTGTTTCACATTTCCACCTTTCTTAGGTCATTCACAACACAGGTTCTTACTCCTGCTCAGAGGAGGAATTCTGTGGAAGTGAGTTTTCTTATTCTATGGAGAACATTGAAAGTTTCTGCCACTAGGAAGGAAGAGAAAGGGTCTAGGTCTCATTGAATCATATTGTATCATTTATTATTATTGGCAATATAGAACGATTATTTCATTCAAAATTATTTTAATTATTTTGTAGATTGTGATGACTGAGAGCCCATTGCTTGTATATGTTTATGTAGAGAAAATAAAGTGGATTCCAAAAGTAAGCCATGTTTATGAGATTTAATATCCCTGGAACGATAGCACAGCGGGTAGGGCGTTCGCCTTACAAACGGCCAACATGGCCGACCCGAGTTCGATTCCTCCGCCCCTCTCGGAGAGCCCGGCAAGCTACCGAGAGTATTCGATATGCCATACACAGTAACAACAAAGTCTCCAATGGAGACGTTACTGGGCCCGCTCGAGCAAATCGACGATCAACGGGAGGGCCTTTACCTTTACCTTTAATATCCCTGGAAATATACATATACATACATATAGATGTGTGTATATACATATACACATGTATATATTTGGGTGCAAATGCACTAAATATTAGATGTACATATAATATATTTGCATGTAATGTTGAGAATTATATGCAAATAAATTAAGAACTTTAAAAATTTTTTTTCAATATTCTTTGAAAAATTAGAAAATTGCCCAGAAGAAAATTTGAAGTTAGAAGTGAGGAAGAAGGGGAAAGCTTTACATCAAGAACTATGAGGATATTTCAAGACCTTATCACGTGCCGGGCACTGGACTTAATCTCTGTCACTGTATTGTTCCCAGCACCATTAGGATGATTCTGTGAGCCCACAGTAGCAGGAGTTGAACTTGCTACAAAGAGCAGAGCCAAGAGAGCCCTGGGTTGCCTGAGTAGCACTGGTTGTGGTCCCTTTAAATTTATAGTTGTTTCTTAGAGAGATAGTAAAGACATGGGGAATTTACCTTCCATGCAGTTGGTCTGGGTTCGATCCCTGCTACCCATATGTTGTCCAGAGGCCTCACCAGAGATGGTTCCTGAGTGCAGAGAGAGGAGTAAGCCCTGAGTACAGCATGGTGTATATCCCAAACCATATATATATATATATATATATATATATATATATATACCATATATGTATATATATAAAGTAAAGTAAAGGCCCTCCCGTTGATCGTCGATTTGCTGGAGCGGGCCCAGTAACGTCTCCATTGGAGACTTTGTTGTTACTGTGTCTGGCATATCGAATACTCTCGGTAGCTTGCCGGGCTCTCCGAGAGGGGCAGAGGAATTGAACTCGGGTCGGCCATGTTGGCCACTTGTAAGGCAAACACCCTACCCGCTGTGCTATCGCTCCAGAGATATAATATATATATCTTAATATATATATATATATCTTAATATATATTAATATATAATATATAATAATATATAATATATAATAATATATATAATAATATATTAATATATTTATATATCTTTTTATATATCTTTATATATATCTTAACATCTTAATATCTTAGCACCTGATTATAATCTTTATATATAAAATATACAATTAAAGATAATATATTATAATATATTATATATTATTACATAATATATAATATATAATATTATATATTAAGTAAGTAAGTAAAGTAAAGGCCCTCCCGTTGATCGTCGATTTGCTCGAGCGGGCCCAGTAACGTCTCCATTGGAGACTTTGTTGTTACTGTGTCTGGCATATCCAATACTCTCGGTAGCTTGCCGGGCTCTCCGAGAGGGGCGGAGGAATCGAACTCGGGTCGGCCATGTTGGCTGCATGCAAGGTAGAAGCCCTACCCGCTGTGCTATTGCTCCAGCCCATTATATTATATATTATTATATATTATATATAATATTATATATTATGTATTATAATATATTATAATATATTATCTTTAATTGTTTGTATATTTTATATATAAAGATTATAATCAGGTGCTAAGATATTTTTCTAAGTAACTATTTTATTTTATTTTTTGGCTTTCATCTCTGGGTTTATTCCTAGCACTGCAGTCAGGATCCTTCTGCTGGGCTCAGGGGACCATACGGGATGCCAGGGAATGAACGCAGGGCAGCTGCGTACAAGGCACACGCTCTACCTGCTCAGGCTCCTATTCAGCTTTAGTTCATATTCAGCTATTTCAGCCCTAAGTGCTGTGATATATCCTTGTCCCAATAATAAAGAATCTCATGGCGCAGATATGTAGAGATTCACTTATAAAAACCTTGTAGTAATTACACATTGCTACAAATATTTTATATTACAAGTGGGTGCTTAAATCTTAATGCTATTTTAACATATACTAAAAATGTACGATTGATGAATAAACTTTTAACATTCCATGAAAACTGAATTTGAAAAATATAGTCACTGTGTATGAGATCACACGTTTTGTTATAATCACCCAACTTAGATATCGCATTGTATCACTGTCCTCCTGTTGTTCATCAATTTGGTCGAGCGGGCACCAGTAACATCTCCATCGTGAGACTTGTTACTGTTTTTTGGCATATAGAATACGTCACAGGGAGCTTGCCAGGCTTTGCAGTGCGGGCGGAATACTCTCATTAGCTTGCCGGGCTCACCGAGAGGGACGGAAGAATCAAACCCAGGTTGGACGCATGCAAGGCAAACACCTTACCTGCTATGCTATGGCTTCTTAGATATAAGTAAAGAGAAAATGAGTGAATTGGAAAGTAAGCCAAAATTAAATATCCTACTAAAGCATGAAAAACAAAAGAAAATATAAGTGAATTGGTGGCATATATATATATATATATACACAATAGATGATAGATTCAAATGAATTATCAAAGTTAAATTTTATAAAAAAATATAAAGAATTTGAGAACAATTTCAAATGGGAACAATTCCCAACTCAAATTTATGACTAATATTAAAGTAAATATTCAATAGTATGGTAAACATTATATGACATTATCTTGTGGAAAACAAAACATAATTATTTAGACTCACTTCTTGAGCAGTTGTGTCCACATCTTTCACCAAATGGAATTTGAACTTTGCATTGAGGGGATTTTGAAAAGAATTTTTGTACTCCTATTTAATACATCATTGTCAAACAGTGATCAGTTTGACAATAACCCATTTAGAAGGAAGAGTGCTCTGTCCCTCCCATCTGTTTTATTTTGTAATCTTTGGGTCACCCTAACCTTATGTTTGAGAATTTCTGGTGATGCTCTGTGCATCGTGATGTGGAGTTGTTATTTGGAACTCTATTTAATAGTGATTTGTGAAACAGGTTTTTTCAAATGTATCTGTATTGCCTAGCTGTATGATAGTTCCCCTTTTCATGGCAATTGCTTTCAGAAGTACAGATATTTTCTATTATGGTTTGTAAGCATCTCAAAATAGCAGCATTTGACTATGGCCGACACCACACTTTTTATGAAAGCTCAAGTTCAAACCACATATAACAGTGGAGTTCAGGTGAATTTAGGTATCAAAACAAACAATATATTTTTCTGACTTAATTTATTTTCTGTTCTAAAACAAACAAGCAAACAAACAAAAAGCTCTGAACAATCTGGCATGAAGAAACTAATAAAAAGAAAGTGATGCATGAATGTAATTCAAAAACAAATTTACAAAGAAGAGCGAATTCAGAATACTTTGATATTCCCAAATAAAACATGGGAAAAGAAAGAAAAAAATTTTCTACTCTATTTATAGTGTATATTTTCTATGTGTTTTGGGATTTTTTTCTTTTGAAGTGGATTTAGAAAACAATATATAAAAGGAATCATTGTATAATATATCACCTGCCTCTACCACAATCACATTCAATTGTTAACAATACAATGCTGTATCATAAAAAAATTTTAAAAGCTTACTATATCAGAAAAAATTTTATACCAAATTTGCATCAAGCTTGTTTACACCTAGCAAACATTAGCATTATTATCAAGTACATTTATGATTTCACTTGAGGTCATATTATAAAGAAAACACAGTTTAAAGAGATGCAATGACTTTAATAGGATTTCTCTTTTCATTTTAAACATTGGGTTAAGCTTAGCTTGTTTATGAAATAAAATATTATTTTATTTGTATAAATTTTGACATTCTTCCTCTATTATACTGTTTTGTGATTTTGGAGAATCATTTAAATAAGGCAACAGTTACTGATCAAATAAATACAGAATTGACTCAAGTGTGTTCTTGCCCAAAATTTAGCCTTATTGAGGTATTCATTAAAAATATTCTGGAATTATTTATCAACCCCAAATACCAGTGTGGATCTCCCTTCATAGGTTGATTACACCTGATTGTAATCCTCTCATAGTTTTTAAACGAACTAAATATATTATGCATCAATTGTATAAGGTATATAAGACAGAGACAAAGCTCATATAGAATGAGTGAAAAAATAAATTATGAACTTGAATGCCACAAACCAATTGCACCAACAAAAAGGAAGAGAGCCCCCAGAAGTCACACCTTTGATAAAAATTTAGAAAATATTAATATGAGTGACATGACTGTGATCAACTCTGCCAGAAGTTTACCTGTTCTATACTGCTTAGAAACAGCCTTGTTCCTGACGCCCCATTCGCTCTCAATGGAACGACCATCTCCGAATGCAACAGCTATGTGTACCTAGGTCGAGAGGTCAACATGACAAATGACCTGGCACCCGAGCTGCGCAGGAGGAAGAGAGCGGCTTGGAACGCCTTCAAGAACGTCGAAGCAATAGCTAAGAGGACGAAGAACCTCCGGCTCCGGGCACATCTCTTTGATTCCACTGTTCTTCCTGCATTAACATATGCCTCAGAGACCTGGGCCCTACGCAAACAGGATGAGAACGCTATTCGGGTCTCCCAAAGAAGAATAGAAAGAGCTATGCTTGGAATATCACGTTTCACTCAAATGAGAGAGAGAATCCGAAGTTCCGACATCCATCGACGATCAAGGATCAGGGACGCTGTCTCATTTGCCAAGGTGTCGAAAATCAGATGGGCTGGTCACGTAATGAGATTTAAAGACGACCGTTGGGCTAGAGCTGTTACTGATTGGATTCCACGGGATGTCAAAAGACCGCGTGGCCGCCCACCTACCAGATGGTCAGACTTCTTCGTCAAGATCATGAACGATCGGTTTGAGGCCCTTCATGTTCCCAGAGCGAACAGATGCCATTGGGCTACACTAGCACGCGACAGGGACAAATGGAGACGTTACTGGCGCCCGCTCGAGCAAATCGACGACTAACGGGAAGTTAAGTGATTAAGTGATTTCATTGAAGTCTGAAGAAACAAGATATGGAATTCTGTGAGAGAGAAATTCCTGATGAGAGAGAAGACTTGACTAGTTGCAAGAGAAGAATGAAATCTCTCTGCGCGGGTCAATAAAATGGTTGTATCTGTATGCAGGCCCACCAGAGATCCAGGCTAACTCCCTGATTCCTTTCTTCCTGCATGTCGTGATGGATGAACAGAAGTTGGCTGCACACTTGGTTATGGCACTCATACACACTTATACACTGAATCACTGTTTTTGATGGAGTGCTGGGATGGCAATGGTTGCACAATGGGATCGCCCTTGTCACACGGGGCAGTGCTTGCTCAAATCCCATATATACAAGGCAGATTCTGTACTGAGAACCTGATCTATCCCTAGCCCCCAAATAATCACTCTAACTTTTTGAAAGCACATTGAAATATTGCGAAAACCAGTAAAAGAACATGACCAATAAGTTCCTAGGAGTTCTAAAAAAGTGAGAGGAATTAGAATGTAAGGACAAACTCATCAACTGTAAGTGCAGCGATGAGAAATCTCTTGGGAGGAACTAACTTGAATACAATCACTATGGTATTTTGATAATGATACAATAAAACGGTAATTACAATAAAATCTGTTATCTCTTGTTTAATAAATAAAAGGTAACATTAAAAATTAAGACTATAAAATCGCTTCAACATGAATTTTTTGAAATGTGAAGAGAGAATATAAGATAATAAAATTTTTTGTCTGATTTAAATTTCTTTTTCACTGCACTTGACACCAGAGTTGCATCCTAGAATGGAAAAGGAATTTGAAATGAGTTAACATCAAGAAAATAGATTGTTTATTGGATCATCATAATGAAGAATAGGGATGAAAGAGCATTTATTTTCCGGAAGTAAACATTTATTTTACTGATCCAAGAAAATCACCTTGGAAAATGGATGTTTTAAAGTTTATATTATGTAACTAATATATAGAGAACGTAAATAAGATTTTTAGATGTAAACACTTTCAGTGTCATCGAGTGCTTTTATACACCCGAGTAAACTTCGGAGATTATTTTATTATCCAACACTTTCTTCTCTACTTCAGTCCAATATCCATAATAAGTGAATAAAAGATGTTTCCAGAGATTTAAAATAAATAGTTAAAATAGTTAAAAATAGGGGCTGGAGCGATAGCACAGTGGTAGGGCGTTTGCCTAGCAGGCAGTCAACCCGGATTCAATTCCCAGCATCCCATATAGTCCTCCAAGCACCACCAGGAGTGATTCCTGAGTGCAGAGCCAGGAGTAACCCCTGAGCATCGCCGGGTGTGACCCAAAAAGCAAATATCAATAATAATAATAAAACAGTTGAAAATAAATAAATCAAGCATTAACCAAATATCTAACTCACATATGGTCACAAATAATATGGAAGTAAATAAAGGATGGAGATTTCTTGGAAAAAGTCAAAAGAGGGAAGGTTTTCACCTGGATTCTCTCCCCCAGAAAGAACGTTTTGAGTGGGGATGCAGAGAATCTGAAGCCACGTGCCCTAGGACTGGAAGGAAGCCATCAGTCCTGCATCCGCAAGCACTCTCCTCACTTTGACTTCATCCACGCGCCATATGGCAAAGTCCTGTCACACTCAGGTCTCCGTAATGAATTATTTTCCATTGCTTCACCTCCTAACAGACTTAGTACATGGAGGGGAAAGAAGTTTTAAGTGTTGCATTTAATGCATTGTTTCACTGTTGAAGTAAGGTGATGTGGAATAAAGTTTTTTTTTTTTTTCTAGAAATCAAGTTTTTGAAACAAACACATATTTACATACAGGAAACCCTCTTTGATGCCTTTACTTTTGCTCTTGGATCTTGGCTTATGTGAGCAAAGCGTTTCTGAAAGCGAGTATCCACTCATGAGAATATCCATGTTCTTAAGGAAAGAAATAGGGCCGTATTTATTTATTTTCATTTTTCCTTTTTGCATAGTGTAGATGGTGGTGACAGTTGGAATTTGTATTCTTAGGTCACCTGGGATGTTCTGTTTGTAGCTTCTAAACTTTCTTTGTTTTTGAATGTCCATAAAATACAAACTGTAGAATCATGTCTCAGCCACCAGAGAGAAGATAGTCAAGAACGGATGGAAAGGGCCTGAGTTTACCTCTGACACGCGGCTACAGATTGAGACAAGTTACAGACCTGGGTGGACACAGGTGTCTCATCGCTAAAATTAAGAGCCTCTATCCTGATCTCAAAGCTCTCTTTAAAGACTGTAAAGACATAGGATTTGACTGCTTTAGCATTTACAATTCGGAGATGAACATTTATGGTGATACTATCCTACATCAACACTGGGATATTTATATTTGTGAAAACAATACTTCACATCTCCCTGAACAGGTGTTCCTACAAAATCTTACAAGTAATTGGCCTCCAAGGTACTGTGGTGATAAAGGGGCAAAAAAAATAAATGTTTGTGCTATGCTAGAAAATAAAATGTGAATGATTACATATTATACTATTGTATGTTTCTTTAAATGTAATGCAAAGGAGAACAAGATAGAAATTTATAATTTGTAATTTTAATGAGTGAATATGAAAATATACTCGGTGGGTAAAAAATACTTCTAAAATTTCTTTTATTTTTGTAGCAATTGAAATTGTTAGAATCATGGGATTTAGCCAACTACTATGTTGTTTTTTTTTTTTTTAGGTTATCCATACTATCAGTGCCATTGATAAAGATGATTTTGCCAATGGACCAAGATTTAGCTTCATTCTCGATGAAAGCCTGTCTATAAACCCAAACTTCACTCTAAAGGACAATGAAGGTGAAATGAATACATATATGTTTTAAGTTTGTGTGGTATTTGACTTGATATAGAAAAGTCCTGAGAAGTTTTGACACTTATCCTTATACGCCCATGAACAGCTTGCAAATCAGCATTCAAAATCAGTTTGATGTTAATGTGTTATGATCTGTGAAGAGCTTGTATTTAAAATTGAGCCATATGTACAAATAACTTTCATTGAATTTATTCAGAAGCATCCCTTTAAATAAGAAATATACTGGTAATACGCTATTGGGCAAATTTTAAGAGAAATCTTAGCTGACAAACATGTTTCTGAAAGCTGCTGCAACTGCTAGGAGGTAGAAAAACATTTAAATTAGGAAAAATGAAAAATATATCCTGGGGACAGTCAGTAAAGGAAATGGAATGTTTGAAATCAACTTGCATTTGCAAGACTATCAAGATGCGCTGTACAAATTATATTTCCTCTTGTTATTATGAATATTTCAGAATCTGTGTCTAGCTAAATATGCATAATTGCAAAGTATTGTGGAAATGTTCAACTCTTTTATAAGCTCCCTTATTGTGTGATTTTTTAAAGTATCACAATTTAGTAACTTTAGAGACGATTCACCATGGTTTTATTTCTCGGATAGGTAGATTATTCAAGGTTGGGCAATCATCATACTTCTGCATATAAGAAAAACATTAAGCCTTTCAATATGAGCAGGGTACTGATTAGTATTAGTTTTCTTTCTTTCTCCCGCTGGAGCGATAGCACAGTGGGTAGGGCGTTCGCCTTACAAGCGGCCAACATGGCCGACCCAAGTTCGATTCCTCCGCCCCTCTCGGAGAGCCCGGCAAGCTACCGAGAGTATTCGATATGCCAGACACAGTAACAACAAAGTCTCCAATGGAGACGTTACTGGGCCCGCTCGAGCAAATCGACGATCAACGGGAGGGCCTTTACCTTTACCTTTACCTTTCTCCCCAAACTGTCTTTGCTCAAGCTTAACAAATTAGTTACCTATCATCTAACCATTGCCTCAGAATAACATGAAAGAGGCAAATAGTTTGCTGTAAATTGTCTCTATCATGGATAATCATTTTTAAAGAAAAATAAAAATCAGTATTACTAAATAGCAGCCCATTAAAACTTTCCCCGTCATTCCAGAGTTTCTTTAATTTACACTATCAGACAGACCAAAATAAGCACACTTTTGTGATATAAATCTAGTTATATACAAACGTGGTAAACTTAGTTACAACTTGTGAACTATGAGTGGACCAGAGCAGTCTCAGAATGGAAGGTGATTGTTTTGCACGCTACCAGTCCAGGTTTTAATCCCAGGCTCGCAGAATACTTTCAGCAGTGATCTCTGAACAGAGAACCAGGAGTAAGCACTAGCACTATGGGTGTGTCCCTAAAACAAAATATCAGAATCCCCACAACCAAAAAAAAGTGTAAGAGAACTTTATCTACAGTTGCATATGAAGTTGTATAATGATGGGTATCATTTCGTGCATTTGCAAGACTTTTATTTTAGAGAATTAACATTGTGCTATCAGTTCTCATACAGAAATATACAAATATAGAAACAATATGATATCAAAATAGATTTGAATAAAGTGTGTAGTTATATGTCACTGTCCTGTCCTCCCGTTGTTCATCGATTTGCTCGAGCAGACCCAGTAACATCTCCATTGTGACAATTGTTACTGTGTTTGGCATATCGGATACGTCATGGGTAGCTTGCCAGGCTTTGGCGAGAGGGCAAGATACTCTCGGTAGCCTGCCAGGCACTCTGGGAGGGGCGGAGGAATTGAACTTGGGTCAGCCATGTGTGCTGCGTGCAAGGCAAATGCCTTACCTGCTGTGCTATCGCTCCAAGCCCATAGTAGTTATACATAAATCACATAAATATTGAAATGTATCTCTTTAATAGGGAAAATACACTTGATTCTCTGAAAAAAAAAGGAGAATTAATGCATAGTTGAAAGCCCTTATTTGAGCATACAAACTTAATTGTGCTAGATCAGATAAGCCGGTTCATTTTACTCTCTATTACAATGACAGGTTGTGATTTGACAAACCAACTTTACGGTTTTGAATAACGTTAATGACCCAATCTGAAAAAAATGCATTTTATTCATAAATATTGAAATACAAGGTAATTTTGGATGATAATATATAAAGAATGCATGAAATTGCAATGAAGATCAAGCTGGAATAAATGCATGCATACATAGACATACATGTGTGCAAACATACATGTACAGAAGCATAGAAATAAGCACTTCCAGACCTGCTATGTCCTAGAACTTGAACACTGCCTGGTAGTTAGTAGACATTTACATAAATCTGGAAGCATGAGGAAATAAATCTTGAAGAAGAACTAGAATATTTGTTTCTCTTGCTGATTCTTACATGAAAGCACATATTAAGGGAACAATGGAAAGCAGTTATTGGTTTTGCATCAAGATGATACATCAGGAAGCCACTGGTTCAGAGGGATTTCCAAAATTGCTTTTTTTGGCAAAAGATAAAGAGGAAATGAGATTTTGAAAAATCTATAGAAATGCATGTTGTTAAGGCCAGAAAAATAGTACAGAGTAAGGAGTCACCTTGCACACAGTAGACCAACATTTAGTCCCTGGCATCTCGTATCATTCGCTGAGTCCCACAAGGAGTGATCCCTGAGCACAGAACCAGGAGTAAGCCCTGAGCACTATCAGGTATGGCCTACCTTTATCCCTCCAAATAAATGCATGTTGTTGTTTATAAAAGGTAAAACATAACTCAATGGAATAAAAAGTCACTGTCACTGTCACTGTCCTCCTATTGTTCATCGATTTGCTCGAGCGGGCCCAGTAACGTCTCCATTGGAGACTTTGTTGTTACTGTGTCTGGCATATCGAATACTCTCAGTAGCTTGCCGGGCTCTCCAAGAGGGGCAGAGGAATCGAACTCAGGTTGGCCATGTTGGCTGCGTGCAAGGCAAACCCCCTACCTGCTGTGTTATAAATAAAAATTAAGTCAGAAAATAAATTCTCTGTTAACTATCGAAAACACGTAAATGGTGAGATAAATTCTTTAAAAATTCCCCAAATTCAAATTAATTTTTAAAATAGTGTTAATAATATTAAATATTATTAATAGAATAGAATTTAATAATAATAAAATTATTTAATATTAAAATAAAGCATTTGCAACAAGATTACAAATAATTTAGTATGTTAAAATAGCACTGTATTATAATATTCTGTGAATTCCAGGTATCATCATTGAAAATAAACATACATGTACAATATATCAGATTCACCACCAAAAACCCAATTCTGTCTTCCAGCATAAAATTTGTCCATTTTGTCTCAATTTGCTTTCCCTCTAATAATCAATCCAAAATTTATTTTATTGAGTTCTACTGTTTGTTTTCCATATGCCAAATTTAAATGAAATTTTATGGTAATTATTTTTCTCATTCATATTTGCTTTAACATTTGACATTACTTCTACGTCTTTGTTATTTCAAAGATAATATATTTTTTAATCTTAATTTTGTGAGGCTGGGGCTACCCTTAGTTGTGATCATGTTTACTCCTGGTTTTGCTCTTGGAGGTCACTCACTCATGATTTGGGGGACATATGTAACAAGCACCTTACACACTACACTGTCCTTCTGTCCTAAGAATTTTTAATTTTTAAAAACAGTAAACATTAAAAGAAAAAAACAGAATCTTAATAAGTAAGGTAAAGGCCCTCCCGTTGATCGTCAATTTGCTCGAGCGGGCCCAGTAACGTCTCCATTGGAGACTTTGTTGTTACTGTGTCTGGCATATCGAATACTCTCGGTAGCTTGCCGGGCTCTCCGAGAGGGGCAGAGGAATCGAACTCGGGTCGGCCATGTTGGCCGCGTGTAAGGCGAACGCCCTACCCGCTGTGCTATCGCTCCAGCCCCCTTAATAAGTAGTTTTTAAAAAGATGTAAATACCCAATATACACTATTTATTTATTTATTTATTTATTTTAATTATTATTAATGAAACACCTTGAGGTACAGTAGTAGTCTTACAAATTTTTGTGCTTGGGTTTCAATTATACAATGACCAAATACCCATCCATCCACCAGTGTCCATTTTTCACCACCACTGATCCCAGTACCCCTCCCACCTCCCATACCCCCCATCCCACCTTGCCTTTGTGGCAGGGCATTCCCTTTTGTTCTCTCTCTCCATTTGGGTGTGATTTCCAAAAGAAGCATTGAGTGGCAATCATGTTCGGCCTATAGTTTACTTTCAGCATGCATCTCCCATCCTGGGAGGATCCTCCCAACACCCTTTATTCGGTGCTTCCTTCTCTATCTTTTTTTTTTTTTTACTTTTTTATTAGTGAAACTCCATGTGGTACAGTTGATGACCTTACAAATTTTTGTGCTTGGGTTTCAGTTATACAATGATTGAGTACCCATCCCTCCACCGGTGCCCATTCCTTACCTCCAATATTGCCAGCATCCATCCCACCCCCCCAAACCCCCATCCCACCACTCACCTGTGAAAGGGCATTCCCTTTTGTTCTCTCTCTATTTATGGGTGCTGTGGTTTGCAAAAGAGGCATTAAGTGGCTATCATGTTCGGTCTATAGTCTATTTTCAGCATGCATCTCTCATCCTGGGAGGTTCCTCTCAACACCCTTTACTTGGTGCTCCCCTCTCTATCTGAGCTGCCTTCTCCCACAGCATGTGCAGCTGGCCTCCAAGCCATGGAGTGAACCTTCTCGTACTTACTTGGTTATTCTTGGGTGTTAGTCTCCCAATTTTTTACCTTATATTCCCCAGATGAATGCTATCTTTCTATGTCTGTCCCTCTCTTTCTGACTCATTTCGCTTAGCATGATACTTTCCATGTAGTACCACTTGTATGTAAATTTTATGACTTCATCTTTTCTAACAGCTGCATAGTACTCCATTGTGTAGATGTACCAAGTTTCTTAAACCAGTTATCTGTTCTCAGGCACTCGGGTTTTTTTTTTCCAGATTTTG